CCGAGTGAAAAGGATTTTGCAGATGGAGGCACCCGGTGGGGCTGCGGGGGGGCGTTCGGCTCGCCCGGTGGTGGAAAACCGCAGCATCTCCACAAGACGGACTTAAAGGCGGGAGCTACGGGTTAGCTCGCGGCTAACGCTCTGATCTGCTGATGTCAGCAGGAAGCTTTCTGCTGGAGATGATTAGATCTACATGCTCTACTTCGTCCTCGCAAGCGTGCACGGGCTTTATTATTCCTGCACAGGAGACCCGTGCATGCAACGGGGGAGGACATGGAGAATGCTCCTCAACAAGTAAATAGAGCGCTGTCGAGTGTCGACAACACACTGCCGCTCGATTCACACGATCGGTGGAAGAAGATTGTTGTCTGAGAGGAAATGACAACATCTGTAACACAACAGCACGGTGGGTCCAACCGTGAGAAGTGATGTAAAACATCATCGAGGGAGTAAAGGGAATAAAATATGCAAAACCCCTTTGAGCAGCAACTGAAACATGAAGCGGTTGTGATGAAGGTGAAATGTCTCCCCGTCGACTCAAGTGAACAAGGACACTTGTTGTCATGAGTCTTAGACAATCATGCTAGCGGACGCTAGCTGCAGCTTCCTGCTTGGTTAAATAAGAGCTGATGCTAACGGAGGCAGAGGTGTTCATAACTCGATCCGTGTCCTCTGGTGAAGTTATTTTAGCTTTGTGGTCGGATTGATCCACCGCTCATCATATGACATCATGAATATTGTTTTATCCGATCGCACCTCGTTATGTAACCCTCGCTGTATAATAGATGGAGACTCAGCGTCTCCCCCGTCCCTCCCCCCCCCTCCTGCTCCTCTGCAGCAGCGTGAAGTGAATAATTTGGGCTGGTTTTTGGAGAGGCGCCAAAAGCTCTCCCTCTTTCTCCGTCGGACGGGCGGACGCTCAGCGCGAGGAGGAATCAATTTGTGTGCTTCTCCTTCACTCTGTGGATCAGCCTCCATTGCTTCAACGTCTCCTCACTACCTGAAGCCAAAAAGTCCAGATGCCATTTATTGGAAAGGCAGCTCTCTGAATGTTAAATGAACAACTTACCACACTCCTTCAGTCAGCAGAAACTAATGGACCTCTCAGTAATGAGGAGGAAGGAAACGAGAACGGACTTCAGCCCCAAAATGCTGCGGATCTGGAAGGGATGGATCAGGGATTGGGCCAGGATCGTATCGGGAAAGGCCTAGAGCGATGGGCAGACGGGGGGCGTGAGTAATGAAAATGAGCTGAGGCTGAGGGGGGGGGGCAGGAGACCGTCATGTCTTCGTTAATTCCTCCATCACTCGGCGGTCATCGCTCCTCTATCACCTCTGACCCTTGCTGGTCTCAACGGAGCAGATCGTGACACCTTCAGTGTTTGTGTGTCGGCTTCACTCAATAAGACTGCATTTAGCCTGTGATTGTGTGTGTGTGTTTATCTGGGCACCGCGCTAATAAACACCACTGATCCGTGGAGATGGGATCCCATTGAAAAGATGGCCTCCATTGTTAAAGGCGTGTGAGGCGCTAAACGCTCTGTGCACATCATCTCAGCATGAATAATGCAGCGCGGTCCAAGCGAGAGGCCGTCGCACGGCGAGCACAACAAGAGCTGGAAGAGGAATTCGGACACAATCCACGTTTAAATCAGGCCTGAAGCGCAAAAAAGAAGCGGCAGCAATAATCCGGATCCACTGCAGCCGACAACCAGAACGCCATC